TATGGGGATCTCGTAAACCATAACAGATACAAGGTCGCGTAAGTAAACAAAGAATGGCGAATTTTATGTATTAAGTTTCCCTTTCAGAGTTTCTTGTAGCTCTACAAACAACGAAGCTCGCAACGAAGTATGGTAAAAAAATTACAAAAGTCCTCGTATGTGCATCGATGAGACTTCAGCGCATTTTTGGCGTGACGGATCAGTATTGCATTAGCAATCAGTATTTTATCAGAAAATTTTAATTATAAAATAAGGTTTATGCAAACATATATTTCTTTATTAATTTTCACGAACTCTAATAATAATTGGACGATGGTATGAACAGTACGACTCGTAAACCGAACAATCAACAGTGTAGTTGACCATTTTGCCAAAAACTCCGTCAATTATTGTTCCGCCATTCGTTGTCACTGTTCGGGGAGAGATGATCACTATATTGAATTTCTCTTGAAGAAATTTCTCTACCCGATTTACGACAGTTAATGGGAAATTAAAGTCTCCCATAATCAAGACGTCTTCAGTTGCCTCAATGAAATCCCCGATCTCCGATAACGCTGCAATCAACAAGTTGTTGCCTTTACTAGGAGCATCAGTGGTTCAAATTTCAAAGAAATATCTCCATAAATAAGAAAGTTGGCATTGCGCAGTGCATGCCTACACATAATTTTTACTATTTGCGAAATGTTTGCCTTTACTAGAAGCATCTGTGGTTCCAATTTCAAAGAAATATCTCCATAAATAGGAAATTTGGCATTGCGCAGGGACTGCGCATGCGCACACATAATTTTTAGTATGTGCGCAATGTTTGCCTTTACTAGAAGCATCTGTGGTTAAAATTTTAAAGAAAAATCTCAGAAAATAGGAAAGTTCGCATTGCGCAGTCACTGCGCATGTCTACATAATTTTTACTATGTGTAAAATGTTTGCCTTTACTAGAAGCATCTGTGGTTCCAATTTCAAAGAAATATCTCCATAAATAGGAAAGTTGGCATTGCGCAGCGACTGCGCATGCGCACAGATAATTTTTAGTATGTGCGCAATGTTTGCCTTTACTAGAAGCATCTGTGGTTAAAATTTCAAAGAAAAATCTCTGTAAATAGGAAAGTTCGCATTGCGCAGTCACTGCGCATGTCTACATAATTTTTACTATGTGTGAAATGTTTGCCTTTACTAGAAGCATCTGTGGTTAAAATTTCAAAGAAATATCTCCATAAATAAGAAAATTGGCATTGCGCAGTCACTGCGCATGCCTACACATAATTTTTACTATTTGCGAAATGTTTGCCTTTACTAGAAGCATCTGTGGTTCAAATTTCAAAGAAATATCTCCATAAATAGGAAAGTTGGCATTCGCACACATAATTTTTAGTATGTGCGCAATGTTTGCCTTTACTAGAAGCATGTGTGGTTAAAATTTCAAAGAAAAATCTCAGTAAATAGGAAAGTTCGCATTGCGCAGTCACTGCGCATGTCTACATAATTTTTACTATGTGAAATGTTTGCCTTTACTAGAAGCATCTGTGGTTAAAATTTCAAAGAAATATCTCCATAAATAAGAAAGTTGACATTGCGCAGTCACTGCGCATGCCTACACATAATTTTTACTATTTGCAAAATGTTTGCCTTTACTAGAAGCATCTGTGGTTCCAATTTCAAAGAAATATCTCCATAAATAGGAAAGTTGGCATTGCGCAGTCCCATTCCGCAGGGACTGGGCATGCGCACACATCATTTTTAGTATGTGCGCAATGTTTGCCTTTACTAGAAGCATCTGTGGTTAAAATTTCAAAGAAAAATCTCAGTAAATAGGAAAGTTCGCATTGCGCAGTTACTGCGCATGTCTACATAATTTTTACTATGTGTGAAATGTTTGCCTTTACTAGAAGCATCTGTGGTTAAAATTTCAAAGAAATATCTCCATAAATAAGAAAGTTGACATTGCGCAGTCTGCGCAAAATAGAGAGTGCAATAAAACTGTCTGAAATGGGCAAATATCAATTAGCGAAAACCCGAAGTCTCTAGGTGTCCCAGGGGCCGAGATCTCGATGGAACGGACGGACGGGCGGACGGACAGGCGGAAACACGAGCACATAAGCGTTACCTCAACTTCGTTGTGTTACGCTAAAAACCGCTCAGACCTGGATACGATATTTTTAACCAAAATTATACCACAAACTGTAAAACTCATCACCGTGTTATGATTTTGATTAGTTTTCACCTTGAAGTAGTTATCCTAGATAAGTCATATTAGTGACCGTAGTTAGGCAATGCCAAAAGTATATTTTATAAAAAAGCCATTCCTCTACGTCAATCGGATCGGCTTAAAATCGATATACGCACGGACAAGTTTTCAAGCGGCGTTAGTTATTTCGCAAATTCTAATTAAACGCAACCACTACGGGCTTAATGAATGTCCATTGCGCCAATAACTCGACAAGACGGAGATAATGCAAAAAACCGGACCTCTCTACGATGTCTAGATCAAAAGTTTTTCAATCCGCCCAGCCAGCCAGCCAGCCGGACAAAGTGAAATGATAAGCTCCTTTTTGTTACCAAAAATGCGCTAAAAAGTAAAGAGGGTATACTCTTTGAAAAGTCATTTTCAAAAATGCCCTGTCGTTTATTTATTTTCAAAGATATCAAAAAATAGTTTTTAGAAACCCTTAGTAGTTTTTTCTCAGCTCTGATGGTGCAAAAATAAAATTTTGATGACATATGTGGGTTTCGAGTAAATCACATCAACTTTCTTTATTTCTTATGGACGCCGTATTGAATTTTTATGTCACTTAATAGACAAAAAATTCATGAGTACATTGTACATTAAAGAATAAAGTATATGGAAGTAGCTACAACTATAGTAATAACTAATAATAGTAACGAGGTGTGTTATGTTATAGCATCAATATTCAATGGCATATTGCCTAAATGGCCAGTATTTTAAACATCTGATGTAATTAGTTTAATTGTTTTGTTGCCTGGAATAGATTGTGTTTTGTTTTTTGTAATTCATCACAGACTACTGGATTAAAATACAAAACCTGTTGATATAAACTGGTATCTTATTTTCAATCTTATGCTATGACAGCTCGTTAAAAAGAGAATTAAAAAATCTATCAAGTAATCTAAAAATCCAATATGGCGTCTATTTAACTTTAGCAAGTTGGTAAATGCTCCTCAAAAGTAGCCATCTTGAATTTTTTTGACATCAATTCTAAATGAAGCGTATCAAAGACAGTAACTTTTATATAACACTTTTTTTATATCTCTTATACTTTCGATGATATAAGACATACAAGGAAATGACGAATTTTAGTTTTTTTGAATTTTCGTCGTATTTAACCGATTCTCTATCTTTAATAAAACAATAAGAAAGTTACCCATGCAATCCTACGCGATCTGGGACACATTGTATATTTCTTATGACAATACATAATTCAATGGCCATGTCGATGGTGACTATGCGAGACAATAAACGAATGAATTCAGTTTCAATCACTATCAGCCATGGAATTATTGCCATAACGTGGTAGCGGAGCCGAGATATTTTATAGAGGTCTTTCTTGGGAATTTTATGGGGAGAAGCGTCCAAATTGAACTTTAAGTTTATGAACATAAAAAGTTCATAATAGCAAATCAAAGGCCAAACGGTTAGACTTAAATATGTGCTCCTGATAAGAGTGATAGCATGGCCTTCATTTTCCATAAACCATTTCTGCAAGTCACCGCTCAGATTAGAGATATCAGTTCTTGTAATTGATAAATTAAACCTTATTCATAACCATACATGGGATCATTCAAAAATTAAATAATTTGTCTTAAGTATATATATGTCGTAGTCATTTAGTGAAATCTGTCATTTCACGAAAAGCCTAGTCCGAGGCCTAGTCATTTAGTGAAACACTGAAAATTTGTACGTGTGGGGTAGTTTCCCTTCCCCTTCTAGATCGATAAGGATACCATTTATCGATCTCGAATGGGAAGGGAATCCAATCGCTTGACCCTGGAAAGTATACTGTGCCACAGTTTCATATAAATGACTAGGCGTTTCGTGAAATGATGGATTTCATTAAAAGACTACGACATATACATTAACTGCGTTGGAAGGTAAAGGTTGACACTATACAGGGTATCCCCCTGATATAACTGCTTAATAAGATATTCCTAATCACTTATGGAGCCGTGATGACAACACCCATGTACAGTGCGATAATTTCATCCTCGTGTTTTAGTAATGCAGCTCTGTATTGCCTAAAAGTTTTGTTTTTATTTTATTGCGATTATTATGTGTATACTTAATTAAATTTAGCTTTATTAATCTAAATTAAATGATAACCTCCCTTTTAAAAATTCGTTTTCTTCTTGTATTGCGATTCTGCTAGTTATTTTGGGATCTCAAAAGTCATAATGGATTTTCAAGTCTCTATTGTAAATGCTTGCTTCAGTCTCTATAGAAACCTGTAACATTGGAACCCGTTACGACATTTGCGAGGGCATTTGTCTGTAGTAAATTGGATTTGTGCTGTTGTGTCCACTTCTCTATATTGCCTCTTACATTCCTCCAAGCTTCAATCTATTTGGAAAAATGTGTGTTGGCTGGTACAGCCGATATATAGTATAGCTCCCATCAAACTTCCCTGAGGAACACCTCTTTTCAGTGCTTGTGCATGTGTTCAGCAAATGATTTTTGTTTGTTCTTCCATTTCTATTCGAACGGTACTTATACTTTGAATAATTTTATTTTCTACTTTTTATGCGTTGTTTCAATAGAATACTGTGATCCACATGTCTCAAATGCTTTTAAGTCAATAAATAGCACATAATACAGTACACACAAATGGTTTCTGTTTAATAATAGTTTAATAATATTGGCAAATTTGAATCACCTCACCTACACGTTAGCTAGACTATTACAAAATATGTTGAAATGGTAAAAATATTGTTTGTCAATGCGTAAAGTGGGTTTTTTGCACAATTAAATTAATGTAACACTTTCTTTTCAGCTTCATCATGAAGACTCACATTTTAGTACTGGTAGTAGTTTTTGCAATTTTGATTACGGATACTGCCGCTGAAAGGGTAAGCACTCTTTACACTATGGCACTACATAGTATAATAGATCTCATTTACTTGATTGCATTGTTTCGTTTTTTTAGCGAAAGCATAAGAAATATCGTAAAAAAGTACCACCTAGTGAAGACATTAGTAATATTGAAATCAAGTCACCTGAAGAAGTACCACATGTAGAAGTTCCTTCAGAAACTGGAGATAAAGACAGCCTTATTTCAGGTAATATTTTTGTTCACCAATCGCAAGCTAATTTTTCATTAATTTTTTTTAGATCCCTGTGCCCAAGTTTATTGTGGAGCAGGTAAAATTTGTCAAGTGGATGAGGATGATGAACCCCAATGTGTGTGCATTCCGGAGTGCCCAGTTGAGAGTGAACCTCGTCGTCAAGTCTGTTCCAATATGAATGAAACCTGGACTTCCGATTGTGCTGTTTACCAACAACGTTGTTGGTGTAACTCTGGGGATGCTCGTTGCAGAGGAGATGAATATAAACACATACACATAGAGTACTATGGAATGTGCCGTGAAATGAGAGTAAGTTTTAATGTTATATACATTTTGAAAAATATTCTCTTAATCCACAATGTTATTTCATCATATCATTACATTATAGGAATGTGTAAAGGAAGAAATGGAAGATTTCCCAAGACGCATGAGAGATTGGCTTTTCAACATAATGAGAGACATGGCTGACCGAAAAGAGCTTACCCCACATTATCTGGAAATGGAACGTGAAGCAGAATCGAATTTAACTCGTCGCTGGACCAACGCTGCTATCTGGAAATGGTGTGATTTAGATGGAAATCCTCCAGATAGGTACGAGACATTGTATATGAGAAACATTATTTATTATTATTTGGGTGTCATTGCAGATCAGTATCAAGACATGAACTGTTTCCAATCAGAGCTCCTCTTATGGCGTTGGAACATTGCATTGCACCATTCCTAAATGACTGTGACAAAGATGATAATCACAAAATCTCTTTGGAGGAGTGGGGAAAATGCTTAGAATTGGACGAGGTTTGACTTTTTATTCTTTTTGTTTATATTTCAATCGTACAATTTTAGAGCGACTTGGAAGACAGATGCGATCAAATTGCTGGACAGTAAGAATTGAAAACAGTCGTAATTATAGTTAGAATGTATAATTTCTCTATGGTGCTAAATCGTATGTAATGTAGTTGTATTGCAGATTCCTTAATCTTCCATTCTTTTTGTACTTATTTTAGATAATGGAAACGTTATAAATCACTGCCAGAAACACTTGGTTATTATTATAAATATTGCTATTGCGTATTGATATCTGAATTAACTTTTGTGTTAAAATGATTTTGTAAAGGTAAAATAAAATCTCTGTCACTATGATCAGTTACACATCTCATAAAAATAAAATCAAAGAATCTTAGATATAATAACAATGTTTAAATTTAATATGATATTCGATCTTAAGAAACAAATATGTTTATTACAAAAAGTGAGAATTGCAACATAATAAAATCGTGCACATACATACGCTCGATACATTCCACTGCTTTGGAAATATATCGAAAGACATCATTTTCTTTTCCTTTTCTTTTTAATTTTTTTTCAACAAAGTCGAAATACGTTCGTTGTACTTTAAACAATGGTTGTACTTTTACTGATGTATTTTACAGTACAAATCAACCATTTTTGTTTTACGTTACCTGCACCATAGCTAGTATCAAAATAGTGTGGGGAGATGCGAAAGAGAAAGTATTGGAAAAGTTTTTGTGCTTCAATTCAATTCACTTCCTGTGTATCGCGGCTAAATGAAGTCTTTATCTAATAAGGACTCCCCATTACTTACTTCCCAACCAATAAAGAATCGATGGTATCTATATGGATACTCTCTCAGAGACGGATAAGACACTTAGACACAGTAATAGGTTGTTGTCCACTACCTTAAGAGAGCGATGGGACAACTCGAGTCAGATGGTGAACAAGACAAGCGGGTGGTAAAACCAGTCTCATTATTCAGGTCACCAGATTATTGCTACCTATCCTGGACTTGGTACTAGTTTATATGGGTTGTACCGCTTTAAAATAGGTACATACCAAACCAATTGCAAGAAATAAAAATTGTTAAGACGAACTAGTCAATACTAATAATCCTATCGGTCCAATGTCTTTTTTTTTAAAGACTTTAAAGGCTGTGTGACAATATATTCGAGATATACATTTTAGTATCCTTTGCACCCTAATGAATAAAATGTGTATTTACCTGGTGGAGATTCAAGAAATGCTCTTTGGTTGTTAAGCAGATTGAGAGACCATCAATGGACCATAAACTCTATAGTGATAAAGAGTGCCTTTATCAAAACAATGTTGCAGCAACAGGGAATCCAACTCGATAAGGAGGCTGTTCGCCTTGCTAAGACTTGCAACAAATATCCGCATTTTTGACCTGAACCATTGTTTAAATAAAGTATTTAAACAATGCCGGAACCCTACTGTAGAGCACCAGCTAGAGGACTGATAAGAAGTTAGCTCGAAAAAGAATGGAAACTATGGGAGTCTGCTCCTAGACTAAGTTTATCCAGGTGACTAAAACCAGCTCGCCACTACCACTTGGCAGAAGGGTCAGATAGGCCTGGTTACTGGACAGTGCCCGTTTTGAGATATCATCTCAGCACAATGGGGGTAGCTGAGGATAACATGCACATGTCGCCTCTGCTTCGAGGAGGAAGAGGCAGCGGAACACATCATCTGCTGGTGTGACGCTGTCTCCAAAAATATCAAGACCCGGGTGAGACTGAAATACCATCTCAGCAGATGTGGGAGTTGGCAGCCAGAGAGGATCCTCAGATTTTTTAACAAACTGTCTCTTCTGGAGGTAGATATACTAGGGCACGCACAATAGGTCCAAGGGCCAAAGTGCGTAGGCGTGATATAGCCTCCAAGGAGGATAAAAAATATAGCCCTAATTCTTTATCGTCTCGATGACAATGGTTGCAATATGCTGCTAACGAATACAGACGATTCATCTATTCTGCCAACCTGCATTTGTGAGGCAATCTGCAGCAGTCGAATAATCCGCAAAATCTGGGGTCTTTTTTTCACTCACGGATGTGTACCTACAAGAAGTACCTACTCTATTTTTACATCAGTGTTTTTATTATAAAAATGCACCTTCATTCCTTTATTTCGGTTTCAAAGACATGTTTCTTGCTATGCGAAGTATTTAATAACAAAAAAAGTTTAAGTCATTCAAAAACTTCAGAAACAAAACTGTTAAATTCATCTAAGAAGAATTCCACCAAGTTATTTTTCAAACTGAAAAAATTATAATTTTTCTTCAAAAGTTAATACAGGATATATAAAATTGTGTTAAGTATAGAGATCTCGCTTATTAGCATAGATGGAGAGTTGGTTAAATGGACAAAAATGATCCTGGAGTTATTCCTAAAGACAATCAAAAAACAAGATTTACACCCTCTCTAAAATATGGAGAAAAATAACATAATTGACGTTTTTGATTTTTGTATTCATATTGAGGAGATATTTAAAAACTAACGAGACTTTCTTTATAGGGAACTTTTTCTGCTCTTTTAGATGATGGAAATGAAGTCATCTAAAAGAGAAAAATCCTTATTTCAAAAATGTATAACATGTTCATAAAAAAACCAAAATAAGTTCAAAATTAAAAGAAAAACATTTTAAGTGGCATTTGATAAAAGCAAATTGTGTTTCTTTAATAATAAAAAAATGTAATCAAGCAGGTAAAGGTTGTATGACGTGCAAACATTTATTGATAACATCAATATATTAAAAAGCAGAGCGCTTTCGGCATACGCCATCATCTTGCAGGAGGCACTGATGATGGCGTATGCGAAAGCGCTCTGCTTTTTTAATTGATGTTATCAATAAATTTTTGCAAGCCATACAACCTTTACCTGCTTAATTATTAAATAGTCAATCGGCAATTCAAAGTGATATGTATAGACTTTTCAAAAATAGAATACAACAACCTTGAAATTAATTTAGCAAACTTTTTAATAGTGTTAGCCATAAGTACTATACAGGGTGTCAATTTTAAAACTTGCAGTCGGCCATTTTTTCCAAACTAGAGAAGATTGAAAATCGCGCTAAACCGTTTCGGGGGTATTGAGGGGAACCAGAATGACGTTATGAGTGACAATCCCCACCCCCCAGTCCGCCCTTTTCAAAAATCCAAAATGGCAACCCCATATATACTTGTGACACATCGATGGAAAGCTACTGAAAAATGTTTTCCAGTGGTACCAATAAAGTCAATATTCATTAAGACAGTTTAACAAAAATTTAATAAGTAACAAAAAAAAAACTAAATGTTTCCATTGAGGGATTTATAGCAAATTGGCCAAGAACTTCAACCTGAGCTGCTTCATTATGCAATCTTGGTTGCTTTCTTTTCTTATTGACTTACAGTACAGCTGAACGTGTAGAAATAATATTCATTTATGGCTCCGAAAATCGATCATCTTTTAGAACATTTAGAAGGTTTAATGAGAGACATCCCGGGAGAAATGTAAGCCATGCCCACAGCTAAAATACCCATATCTGTGGCCATGCCTATGTTCAAGATTTGGTCGCTAAATTCGAAGAAACGGGATCTGTTATTGGTACCACTGGAAAGCATTTTTCAGTAGCTCTCCAACCATGTATCACAAGGGGTTGCCATTTAGGATTTTTGAAGGAGGCGTCATTCTGGTTCCCCTCGTAACGTTTTTGTGCGATTTTCAATATCTTTAGTTTGGAAAGTATAGCCGACTGTAAGTTTTAAAATTGACACCCCGTATACAAACAATACAGTTTACAAAAAAAAAAACACGCTTCCAAATGAGAAAATCCTGGCCGACATGACCAAATTAATTGTTCCCCTGCAGGTGTCCTCAAGTTTGCTTCAAGCCTGGGGCGACGCTAGCGATGGACAACTCGTAATCATGGGGCAGTACAAAAGGCCCAAAAGCCAGGCCTACGAGGACATACAGACGTAAGTTTACCCTCTCCTCAAAATTATTGGGGACAATGCTCAGTACCAGTTAAAGTTCTTTTGGAAGGTCGAGTACAAAAGTATATGAATAAGCTGTATTCTATTCACTACATAAGCGATTGTAAAATCACGGATAGGCTAGTTTCAGACTATCACCACGTACTAAAGAAAGTATCATGCAGTTAACACCATCAATATTGAATAAATCAGTCAAAGAGCATGCTTGTACAAAAATCCCGAAAAACAACTCTAACTCTCCCATTTGTATCAACATGTTAGACCGTATCATGATAGAAATGTCATTACAGGACCATCTCGCAGAATGACATACAGGACATCATAATATAAAATTAAGCTCAAGTGATATAAGCTATTCCAAAATAAAACCCAAAAGTTGAACCTATGAGCAGCTTTATCATTATCATACAATGTCATACAACAGCAGCCCAAAAATACAAGCAGTCCCCACTTTAGCAGTTGTGCTAAAGTGAACATTACACATTAGACACACTAACAATATAATACCTTAAGTATTTAAACAATGGTCATACCTAATGATACAAGAAAGTATTTATTTCTCAAAATATAAAGAACACAACTTGGTAATTAGAAATTATCAAACTAATATGCTAACTAAAACAATGGGATTCTTGCATGAACATTTTTCAATATTAAAAGTAAATTACTTTCAAGGCACATTTATGGAATGATTGTTCATGTAAGGTTTGTGAATATTACACGAGCAACCTAAAACTACGAAATTTGTCTGATTACCAAAGTTTTAGAATGGTCAAATAATGGATAATTTTTCTTACAACAATAAATGTGCTCAACAATATTAAAACACATTATTGACACATTAAACTCTAATATTTAAAAAAAAAACTATACATTTTAAGAATCGTAACCCTAAGCTGGTTGTGAATGAGCTCCTTTCTTGCCAATCAATGATTTATGGATGTGCGGAATGACACCACCGCCCGCAATCGTAGCTTTAATTAGGCTGTCCAACTCTTCGTCTCCTCGTATAGCTAACTGTAAATGGCGAGGAGTGATTCTCTTGACTTTGAGATCTTTAGACGCATTTCCAGCCAATTCGAGAACCTTAAAAAGTATATCATTAGATATGTAGATTAAAACAAGTGTAGCAGGGTTTATGCAAGTGCAACAATACTATGCGATCAAAAATGAGTTGCTGTCGAGTTACCTTTGGATTTTTTGTTTACATGGGAAATCGTACTTAACTTGAACTTCCCAAGGTGACTCGACAGCAACTCATTTTTGATCCCCGTTATATACTGCTTTCCATTTGAGAGCGTGAAGCTCTGGTGCAGTTCGTTCGGAGCAACTCATTTTCCAAGTTGTTCATTTTTAACACATTTGAATGACATTCACAGTACGTAAATAACCACGAAAGTGTTTCAAGCCCCAGGCAAATAGTGGTGGATGAGGGGACAAGGGAAATTCAATTTTGGGCACGTCAGAGCTCAAAGCTTTCTTAAAAGGAACATAGGGCATCGTGCACAGTACAGCTTAGAGCTCCTCTTTCACTCAAATGGAAAGCAGTACTAGAAATCACAGTTTTTGTAGTACCGACAAACTAGTGATCATAAAGGACAAGTTTTGCTTTAATCAGGATGCACTTTTTCAAACAAAAGTCTGAAACTTCTGTTTTTGTGTATTTAACTCAAAAGTGTCGTTAAGAGGCTTGAATTATTACTCAAAAATGTGCAACTGACATTTGAACTTGGCGGGAAATCAATAACGTAATCAAAACAAACATGGCTGCCATATTAATTACTCACCTCAGCCGTTAGATATTCCAAAATTGCTGCTGAATACACAGCTGCGGTAGCTCCAACGCGGCCATGGCTTGTTGTGCGATTTTTTAGATGCCGATGTATTCTGCCCACCGGAAACTATAATAGAATTACATTAAATATCAAATTACATCATCCATAAAAACATAAACTAAACGAAAATATTCACGTCATCATAAACGATAATGAAAACAACGAAATTACCTGCAATCCAGCTCGTGCAGAACGGGAAACGGCTTTTGCTTTTGCCTTACCGGAATCCTTACCAGCTTTACCTCCAGCCTATAACAAGTAAACGACCGCGTTAACCCCAAAGGTGAACAGTTAATGAAAATATAACAGTAGATAACACATCACTAACGCATTTACGGTATTCACTCACCATTTTAATAAATCGCCTCTTTCTATTTCAAGTACAATTAGAGATTCCAAACGAACAAGCCCAAGCCGCTTCACCCGTCAGTTCTATCTACAGTAATGGACGATACGCGCCAAACAGAAAATTGACAAAAGACGCAATCGCACTAGATCACGTGTACCCTCGAACCAATGGGAAATCGCCTTGCTGAATCAAATAGTGCATTGATTTAACGGACAGTAAGCGTGGCTTCAACACCAATGTAGTGGTTCCACTTACTCTGACGGTTGTGGAACCTGGAAAACATTTCAATTTCAATATCTAATTCTAATAGAAAGGAGAAAGTTAAATGCCAAACATTTTTTCTATTTGCACACAACCATTGACATTCAAGGATACAACTAAATGACAAATTTATATTATACAGGGTGTATGGTTGTTTTTTTGGGGATTCCAAATATAAAAATTGTTATTCGCTCTTTCTCGGATTTCGGATAAATGAACCATTTTACTAAATCTGACACACTGACAATTGGCACTTTAGACGTTAGTGAGTAATTTTTGATGAGCCAATTATTGATACAAAAACTCAAATATCTTGAAATCTGAGAACTTAGAGTGTTAACTTAAAACCCTATACCATTTTGAAGCACCTCGTCTAGAGGATCATAAAAAACTAAAAAAATACAGGGTGTTCAATTTTAAAAATATGCTCAACATGACGTAACTTGAAATGATGTCATTTGAAAAAAATATCCGTGTACGTCAAAACATTCATAATATAATATCAAACAACTTTCATCTAATCATCTCAAACTTTTTTCAATATAACCGCATTGTATATACATATATCTTACAAGTAGGCCAACGGTCGTTTACTTTTGGACACCACGTATAGATGGAGAGGACACTAGACTACTATTAAAGTCACTAAAGTACCGCAATCATCCGCCATTTTTGGGCAAATTTGCTGCCAACTTAAAAAAAATTGATAAATAAAATCTGAATAGCTGTAATTTTTTATAACCTAACTTCATAGTACTGTAATGTTTTATAAAAATATACAGAGTGGCCCAACGAGAAGTATACAGAGGGCTTTTAGGGTATTAAATTTCGAAATTTCGAAAAATTCTCGAACACGTCAATTTTGTATTCGAGGGGGCCAACTTTTGGAACACAAATCACGAACCCAAGTCTTCACCCCTCTACGTAGGGAGCTTAACCCTTACAATTTTAAATGGAATCCTATGGCAAATGGCACATTATTTGAAAGCCAATTTAATCGTGATTACTAATCTGCTTTGTTTTTTAAATTCTTTTGATTCGTTTCGGAGATATTCGCATTTGAAATGGTTTTTTCTAAAAAAAAACCAAAACAAATCACCTTGTAATACAAGGTTTAAATTGTGCAAAAAATAACAAATAACTTTAAACACACAACATTTATTTCAATAAATGCTCGAATTGCCTTCCGCCTGCTTCCATGCAATAATAAAGATTTGCTTCAAAACGCTATACATATTCCAAGATTTCAGGGGTAATCGCTCGCTGTTGAGTTATACCATAGTGTATTCTATTCTTACACTATGGTTATACGTGCTCGCAACCCTTGCAATGTTCCGGGCGGAGTAGCATAAACTTTATTCTTTAAATATCCCCACAAGAAGTAATCTAAAGGACTTAAATCAGGGGGAAAAACCACTTCAAATACGAATATGCCCGAAACGAATCAATAGAATTTAAAAAGCAAAGCAGATTAGTAATCACGATTAAATTGGCTTTCAAATAATGTGCCATTTGCCATAGAATTCCATTTAAAATTTTAGGGGTTAAGCTCCCTACGTAGAGGGGTGAAGACTTGGGTTCGTGATTTGTATTCCAAAAGTTGTCCCCCTCGAATACAAAATTGACGTGTTCGAGGATTTTTCGAAATTTCTAAATTTAATACCCTAAAAGCCCTCTGTATACTTCTCGTTGGGCCACTCTGTATACAGATATCTCCAAATAGGTGGAACAATCCCTAACTTTAAAGTTACTAGAATCTGGTAACGCCATTTTTGGGCAAAAATCATGCGTTCTCTCTCTAACACGCGAGCTCAATGGATTGCGGTACTTTCTATATTTAGTGACTTTAACTACTATGTTATTGTTTCAAAAATGTAGCTGTCTGTAATGCAAAGGTCTATAACTAAGATGCGGGTTTACCCCGGTGCCTAACCAATTAAAGCGTTATTTCGTGTGTAGATAATTCCCTAAAAGTCTATAGAGGGTTTTAAGCGAAACTCGTTCGTCCGAAGCCGTACTCGTATGGGTTCGATTCGCCAAATAACATATAATATAATAACACAATGAAGTATAATTTAAAAACCAGACATATGATACACGAACGATAACATGAGCGTCGCAACATTCCTTTCTGATTATCAGGACGAAATTTCATTTGAACAGACCAGACCTGATCGCAATTATTCTATTTGAGATGGGTTGTTAAATTAAAAACAATTTTATGATTTAGGTTAAGTACACTTTCAGTTTGTAGTTTTTTAACCAACCAAAACGTTTTCTAGAGTTTTCTGCAGATAGGAGCTCTAAAAATAACATATCCATCAATCCAGTAAAACGGTTGGATTGCTGGAATCGAATTGTTCCTGCCCAAGAGTTTCTCACTTGCTAAATTAAGAATTTTACCAAAAATGTATAAATTCTATAAAGGTTTGAAAATTGCACAAGTATCAACCAGTACAAAACACCATGGTAAAACTTTAATAACAACACCTAATTTTTAGAATAAAACTCCTTTGGACAGCAAAGTTGTCAGCATTGAACCTAATTTACACTGGTACTGTGGTAAGTAAGTACCTATCTATTCTTTAAATTAAAACGTATTTGATTGATAGGCGAAATAGTAAGATGCTTTATTGCTTTCCACCGTTTAGTTAAAGAGTAAAACTTTCATCCCATAATAATAGGTGTAGAGACGGCACCATAATCGGAAAGTCGTAATCGTACTTTAACACAAGATGCATTGTATGATCTTCTATGACGTAGAGGACAACGAACTTAAAATTAAGATGGAGTGCTAATGCTGAATTGACAAATGACACCTACATGGGGGCAGCCATGATGTGCACTCACTTGGCGCGAAATTCAAATCAACTAATAATCTAAGCATTAACCTCATGTTTTTTAAATAAATTTCTGTGACACATGTCATTTTCCAAGGCTGCAATAGTCTCAAAACTTGAGCACTAGGAAAATTCCCCTAGAAAATAACTAAAACGTGCACATCATGGCCGAGAACATTCTTTTATATTATCCTTATTATATATCAAATTACATTTAAAGGTAAAAGCAAAAATCTCTGTAAATCCGCACGGGCGGTCGAAAAGTGTGGGAATAATCACATTCTTTTATTATTAAAAATGTACTTAACATTTTGATGATACTGTATTCGATATTTTAAGCTTCTGCGTTTCTATTTCCATAAGAAAAATATTGCACATTTTATCTGTCTATGGTTCTGGTTTTGAATTTTTCTGCACAATCCTGTTCAATTTAGGGTTTTTCAAAAAAGTGTATTTAGAAAACTATAAAAACGTATCAAAACTTTAGATGCATCATATCTGATAACAGAATCTAAAATTCCAAAATTATCCTGAAAAAAGAAACAGGTAAATTGTCAGGTTAAAACTGAACCATTCTGTTTCTATAATACAAAGATGACAATTTTAAAAGATGTTTCTGTGTTAGGGGGTATAGGGGTACAGCATACGCCTACACAAGGCCATACTTGAAAACAAACAGACATTACAAAAACCCATTGTTCTAATATCACGTCTGTAAATACAGTGAAGTGAATAATGCCGTTATAAAGTAGTATATTATCTTTGTCATTTGGAAGTGTTGTCTCTTATAACAAGCTCTTTAAAAGTATAGTTATCTACAGTAAATCTCATTTAGTTCAGGTATAAACCATCAATTTATCCATTTTAGTTGAACATAATACCGTTATATGTTTCTCGGAGATCGCTTTTGAATCCGTCGGCCTAGGTACTTCTAAATTCTAATAAATATACAATGATATAACGAATGGTTAAGGCTGTAGCTCGCTGATTCCATACTTTTCCGCCACTCTGTGCATATAGAAGTGCCTTTTAATTTAAGAACAAGAACTTAGAAAACTCTTTTTCATTTTATTTTTCAATTTCCACATACAATTGACGGAAAATATTGTAACCATCTCGTGTGTTAATTGGCGATTAACAATCTCGACTTCCAGTCTCAATTAAGTACGCAGGGGCGTTTATATGGCGACAACTCGGTGCTGTGTTGGTCACAGAAAAATATATCACCCTATAAATTATCTAAATGTACTCTATGGTAGAACCAGAAGAACGTTATGAATTTGAATTTTAAAAGTTGTTTTTCTTGACCGTGTTTCTAACCTAAAATATCACTGTTGTACTTTTGTGAACATTTGTTATATAAAATCAGTCATATCCATGGTCAAGGTATTCACCTTGTCTGGTCATGTCCTTTATAGGTGCTAATGTTAGTCTGTTGATGGTCCGTGAATGTTAGTACAATGAATATGTATAAAAAAATTGCTGTAATTCGTACCAAATTACATTCTTTCTTATTTACACTGTTAGAATATGAAGGCGAAGTTCTGTTAGTCTCAAAGAATGTAAGTTAACTATAACATTTTGCACAGTATTTTTTTTTTAATTACATAGAAAGAAGAGGGAAATGTGACTAACGAATGCTCTTTCTGGGACACAACTCGTACTGAAATTGAAGCTTCAAGGGGTGAAGTGTCTGCCTTTAATTTAACTGGTAATCCACTTAAAGTAGATTTAACTGTTGACACGACTGTTATGGAAAGAAAAGAAAATAAGGAAGAAACACTCTGGTCAATTAGTTTAAATTTTGCTAGGTTAGTATAGATTGACTAAGTACCATATATCATTAGTGATGCGCGCATTCGAATGAAAACTATCGAACTATTCGATAGTCGCAAACCATTCGAATAATTCGATAGTGGACAAGTAATTCATTCGAATGAATTGTCTTGAATGAACGAATTATTTGCAATTGCACACACAGTTCATAAATACTAAATACCTTATGTTACGTTGAAAAATGTAAATATTATTTATTTCTTAATCCAGATGGTCACGGTTTGGGATTGGGAATTATAAATTTTATAATACCTACATAAAATATAAAGCGTCGTTTACTAATTACTTAGTAATTACTCATACCATACGCATTATAAATTTATAAGGCATAAGCAAAGTGAAAAAAGTCGATGATTTACATTTTTATTCGATAGTTGTTCACGAGGTTGTTCATTTATAATTTATATAAGATCCATGTATTTGTATAAGTAATACACATAAAGGAAAAAAATTATTCAAAAAATTCATTCGATAGTGAATTCATTCGATAGTACTTATTACTAAATAGTAATTTATTCGATGGTTTTTTTTTCTCGATAGTTCCCAACACTATATATCATATGTATTAGAATCTTTGTATATGACTAAAGGTGCGCAAACATTACAGGGTTTGACCATAGTACGCACTGACTTTAATTGTGCTACATATGAAATTTTTACTTTGTATTTATAGCTTCTTGTGTGGTTGTTAAACCTTATAGTTGATCCAATGCTTTTCTAGGGAAACAAATCGAATGTTCATGTAAATCCTTATATTTGCGAAATGCACAAGTGGACCCTAATCCAATCAAAATGACTTAGTAATTTTTACAATGCCGAAAGTACGTCAATTAAAAACCATTAAGACGTTATTGAAAATAAAGATAGTTAGACTCATTTTAATGGAATCGTCACAACGTAATTACGTTTCAAAAAGCCCTTGACACAAGCACTAACTATATAGTTCCTTATTCTGGACACGGTATATGTAATCCTAGAATACTACCTTTTTAGGGAATTTATTAATGATTACAATGAAGATGTGGATAAGGAAACAGATGATATGGTGGTTTGCGTGTGTGATGGAGAAGATGATGCACATACAATAATGTTAGCCTCATTTCAAACAGGCGGAAATTTTGTGCGAACATTGGCTTTTGCGGACGGGTGTACAACAGAATCAGTTTTGAAGAGTGATCTTAATCGTTTACTGGACTGTCATATTCAGAATGTTGGTATTGAATCGCACAAAGTAAGTATAAGTAAAAAATAAATAGTAACGATACCTATATAATAGGCTTCACTTTTAATAGTACCTAAATGTGAAATGATGCCTAACAACATCAATAATACTAATGACGCAAATAAAAATTAAGTGATTAAGTCATTTTGACTTCTATGGATACTTATATTCCTATTCTCTTTTATTTTCTATTACTTACTACGAGACTTACTATGTCGATATGTCAAACTTGGCTGGTGGTGGTCTCGATGGTGTTAATGAATAGAACGCACGCACTTCACATGATCTTAAGTAAACTCAACTAAACTTCACTTATACTTTACAGGGTGGTGTTTTTAAGTGGACCATTAAAAGTAGTTCAGGAACGGTTTGGAATTTCGAATCGGGACCCATTACCTTTCTGAATAATTGATCAAAAGGAATCATTTAAAAATATAATCAAGATGGCCGCTTTTCCGGTTGTATCAGAACAGTATCCGAACTTTCTAATTTTAAATGGCACTATTTTTTCAGAGGGTATTTTCGAATTCCTCATAAAAATCAGTATGACTTTGTTAAATGATGCTATGTCTAACTGACATGGTTTCGAAGTTATTTGACATTTTTTTTCACAATTACAAAGGTTCAGTAAATTATTTTTATTACATATCAAAAGTTTTCTTAAAAAAATTAAAAAAACTGTCCACTTTAGAAAAATTTTGCAAGTTTTTTTTATGCTCTTTCGATTGATACATAGTAAAGATATGGTTTCCATTTGATAATTTCGAGTTTTTGATCAAAAACCGATTGTCAACTTTGAACGATTAGTTGTGTTATTTTCGAATCACATTTGAAAATCCGACCAATAACATTTAATAGCGTGGATTTCTAGCTGTCCATTCGGGAAAAAAAACATTTTGCTAAGTTGCCAGACAACAGTGATATGGCTAATTTACTGAACCTCTGAAACTGTGACAAAATGTCAAATAACTTCGATACCATGGTAGTTAGACATAGCATTATATTGACAAAATCATACTGATTTTTTATGAGGAATTCAAAAATACCATTAGAAAAGATAGTGTCATTTGAAATAAAAAAGTTCCGGTATCGTTCTGATACAATAAAATGAATAAATAAATAAAAATGAGTGAATTGACCGAGGAATGGACACAACAATTTACTAGAAAAAACAATTCGAATTAAATTGACAGAAGCGAATCAGTTCTTCTGTTGCAAAATTTTGCTGATAAACACGATTCTTAATGAACCCCCATAGAAAGAATCAAGCGGCGTTGTATCGGGTGAAAGCGCTGTCCAGAGTGTTTGCAAATGCGTGCTAATCCCTCTTTGTGGAAATCTAATCGAAAGTTATTCCCAAATGGCTCTAGAATTATTATACGGAAGTGCATGACCTTGCTGTATCCTAACTGTCACTGACAGCATGTTACTAAGAGCGTCCTTTTTTGCAGTAAATGTAAGTATAGCGCTCTGATGTCAATGTATGGTGCTAAATAAGATATTGGTATATATAAATACCAACCTTTTGTTCAATCTGTCGGAGTGATGTACCGTGACTCATATTGACGGACAACAAAACATTTTATATGGTTTTTTTAATGCTGGTCTTGTGATGAGAAAGTGTAACAGTTGGTCAACGGGAATTAATTACACAAAGCTGGGAGAAAGATTCTATTGATACTTGACCAATTTTGCTGTCTGTATTTGATATTGAACTTCGGTTACCAGTAATCAACATTTTGGCCCTTCGGGCATTGTTAAATGATTGTAGTTAGATATGTGGATTGTTCAAACTTGGAATCGCATCGATGCTAGCTCTCGTCAACGACTAAATATACTCAAGGTAAAATTTTGTTTTATATACTTGTGCTCTCAGTATCGAAGGAGTTATCGTTCGCTATCACATAGATTTTGGAGAGATTTGTGATGAAGTTAGTCTAATAATCCATAGTCGATAATTATCGTATGGGTAAGTTTAAACGGGCTAATTAATCAAGTGGGGTTTGTAGATTAATATGGTGGTACTGTTTATACTTGAGAATATTTTGTATTTCTGAGAAGGGTGGAGAACTGGAATTGATTTTGAAGTGACTTTATCTGATACTAATTATTCATACTAATTTTCGTCAATTTGGATGGTTATGGTTACGTTCTCTTGTAGCTTCCCAGTTTCATACAGGGACAGTCGATGATATTGAAGCTGGGAGGCGCTTAACTTTGGGTAAGTTCCAACGAAGACGAAGATGAGCTAGCTGGCTGATTATTCGGCGAGTTTTTTTTTGAAACGCAGCGCCAACTTAGCTCACCGTTATAAAAGGCTTTTTAAAAGTACCATACACTGTAAGGTTTGCATACCCTCCGCAACCGAACAGTTTCGATTGGCTATGAAACATGCCACGGTGTCAAACTTTTTTTCGTTGGACAACATAATAGAAAACAAAATTAAACGCCAAACTAATATGTGGAAAAATCAACGTTACTGTCAATTGAAATACGTCACATACTTTTTTCTTGGTGATATTGGGGTGTTATACAAAATTAAATTATATAAAAATAAAAGAGAATTTGAATACTCCAAAGTCGAAATAGTGTTTTCCTGGAACCTATGGTTTAACCAGAAGGCACCAGTAATCAATACGATAATATATACAACTCTTTTATTTACATAGTACTTGATTATGTTAGCAGACTCGTCCGCCATTTTAGAGACCTCTGACAATCCAAATCTGCGTACAAAGAGTGTTTAAGGCTAGGTTTAAGGTGTACAGTCTCTTTATGAATTTATAAACGTTGAAAAAATCAATGATTTTTTAAAAATAATAATACATGCAGGACATGGAACGTAACGTTTTGCAATTGTCAGCGGGCTCCAACATGGCGGACGAGTCAGCGGGGCTATATATATACATAGTAACTAGACGTTTATTGAATCATAGATTGGCAAATGATTGCAGTCATTTGAAAGATGTATACAGGGCGCTTTAAAATGCCCGATTTGAAAAAATGACTGTATAAAATTAATTTTGATAATTTAAGCATAATTGCTTATATTCCTTGTTAGGATAAATTAGGCAAAATGAATTTTTGTAATAATATATATATATTTTATATTTTATATATTTATATTTTTATATGATTTTTTGGCAAGTACTGCTCAATGCGTGGAAAATCTTTTTATTTGTTTCCTCCTTTTCGGACATTTTATAAATACCTACATAATATAGAACTTGAGATGACAAACTCTAAATACCAATAAAAGGATACATAGGGCAATTCTACGTAGGTATTTATTCTATTAAAAGAATATCTCCGTACAGTAGGCCATGAAGCGCAGATCATGTGTAATTCCGCTTCCTGCATCAAAGTTACTATGGAAGTTAGAGATGAGCGATAACGATACAAACCCTATCCACGAAAAGACTGCTGCATCATTTCTTGTAACAATAACCTCTGGGTTTTCAAAATCAATGCTGTAATCATGATTAGAACGCATACAGCGCATACAACTAACCGTAAGATGACGTTTTAAAAATTTATATTATGTATTATATTTATAATTTATATTATATTATATTATTATATTAAATAGTGCAGACTTTCGGGTTTCTAATAAAAATACCTAGTGCTTGATTTTACTACTCGCCTAAGTGTAACAAAAGTTGGTCAACTACCTATTCCAGAAGACCATAATTGCAGCATCAGCTGATTAAAATGCCATTTTTGCTTTACTACATTCGAGAATCATGGCTCTTTTCTTTTGTTTTAGGTCGATACACAAGTATTGTGCTTACACAAGTTGTTTAATTACAATCCTGATAAACATTATCAAAATATCGGAAGTGTTCAAATGGAAAGTTCGTGGGACACGTTGCAGTACGATATTCCTGAGCATGGAGCTGTAATAAAATTGGCAAGTAAATTATCATTTTTCATCAAATTGCATGTTGGTGCATACCAATAATTATGTACAGTGTTGTCTAATTTCGATGGGATTAAATGGGTAACTTTCTTATTAGCGCAGACAAACGAAAGCAGTTAAAGTACTCGTAACCTCTTTTTTAATGCTTATTCCAATACCGTTGCCAGATTATTTCTGCCAGAAATAAGCTGCTGTTGTTTTTTAACTGAAAACTGAAAAATGACCGATTCTTTCAGTTTGCTCCATTATTTTTGAAGCTAGAAGAAAATGGCACTTTTAAAGTAGACATTAATGCCGTCAGTCGTTTGTTTCTAGTCCTTTTAGTAACTGCGTTGTAACTCAAAGTTGATTTTTTAAATGGAAGTTACAGTTTACCATGGTTTTAAAAGATTTATTGTTTTACGAGCTTTCCCAAAATGTATCATACTTATTTTCAATAATAAGTTTTCTAAAATAAATTTTGCTTATTAATTTATCTTGTCTGAAAGTAAATAACAAAAGATGGTCAAGTATAATTTCCATTAAAAAAATCAACTTTGAGTTGCAGCGCAGTTACTAAAAGGTTTCGAAACAAACGACTGACGGCATTGATTTCTACGTTAAAAAGTGCCTGAATATTGCTCAAGCTATTCTCTTCTAGCTTCAAAAATAAAGGAGTTACAGCAAATTGAAGGAAGTGGTCATTTTTCAGTTTTCCTCTATAATTAAAAAACAAAAGACCGCAGCTTATGTCTGGCAACGGTGATGGAATAAGCATTAAAAAAGAGGCCATGAGTACCTAAACCGTTTTCGTGTATCTGCGCTAATAAAAAAATTACCAATTTAATCCCATCGAAATTGGACCACACTGTACAATGGCATACCTAATCATTTTATTTCAGATACTGCAGGTTATAGTTGGCCATGAAAGTTCCACGATCCATAGCATGTTTCAAGAACTTCAATTTATTCAGTATTGTTTGGATCAATTATCCAATAATAAAACATTAGAGAATGTAACTTTATCACCAGAGAATGTGGAAAGTGACCATTTATATCAAAGTATCGGCGATATTATACGTACTGTACATGTGATTAACCTTCAAGTTCTATCCAAAGATAATTTTTTTGATTTTGATAAAGATAATAATTTGACGGATAAGTTATGGAATATCTTCAAACGTAAGTATGACATGTAATTCTTATACAATTTTTTTCTAGCTGAAGAAGACTTTTATGCCCAACTTTGGATTTGAAGGAGGGTACTTACTTACTCCAGGTTGTGTTATATTTTTTGAGTTCATATGTAATATGGCAAGCTTACATTTAAAATAATTACAAACTCACCGATTTCGTACATATCATTCGTGTATTCTGATTGACGTTTGTGTGCGACTATAAATACTGTAGCTTTAAAGCATACATAACTTGCACTACATACCTACTGTTGAAATATTATTATTGAAAAGGTGAATAAGATGTCCCACAATCGTGTTTTTTTGCGGAGTAAGCAATCCATTAGTTGTGAGTTGTTCCCTGCCACAACTTGAGTTTTTCATCTTTTATAAAATATCGCGATGCGCCACGGTTTGTTCTTAAAGAATATATGGACAAATTCTAAAAACAAAATAACTTACCTCAAGCTTTGGTTATAGGTATATGCAGAGGCAGACTGGGTACTTACGGGGCAGGGGGAATTGCATAGGTTACGGGCCATTAAAGGATTAGTGTTATGAAGATGGCGGCGTGGGGGGGGAGGTGAGCTCTGCGGTGCACCACAAAAACATTTTTGGTTCATTTCAAAGTAGGTATTCCTTTCTCGAAAATCAATTAGAATATACTTTTTTTTAAATTGCAGCTGATAATTAAAAGTAACAAAATAATTATACATAATCCAAACGAGGCGCGCCGTGTATAATTATGTTTCAACAGTTTCAAAATACTACAAAAAATGATAAATGCATTGTAAAACATTTACATAAAAACAGAACTTTATCATGAACATCCTAACATCATGATCAGAAACTAAATACAGCACATACTTATAAATTTCCAACGGGCCATTATGACCCACAGACCAGGTGGCAATCGCCACCCGCCCCCCGGGTCAGTCCGCCCCTGGGTATATGTACAATCATATACAAACGTAATGATCGCTGAATAGATAAATCCTGCAGCATACGCAACCAAGATTTGAATATATTATGCAACTTGAAAATACGAACGAAAAATAAGCCCACCTTGAAGAAACCGACGGAGCTGGATATGATAGGCATGTTGGTTACTTAGGCTAGAGTTTACCTATTAGACGATGATTACTTTTGTCAATGACCGTACGTACCTATTTACGTAATGCTATATCCTCGGCTATATCTACTTAATTTTAGAATATTGTTTTGGAATCGATGGTTAATCGAATACAAAACTCGCTTATTTGAATCTTTGAGTAGGTACATTTGTTCCTGCCAAGCAGTATACAGAAATATCCAAGAAAATGACACTTATTTTATTAATTTTCTGTTTTTTTTTTGCAGGTTGTGGAAATATAAATGATTTATCAAATTGTTTTCAAAAACTATTTGAAATTATCGTGGATGAGTCAATAAAATTACAAGTAAGGGGTTATTTTATTTGTATCTATTTCAAACTTTCTACTTAGATTTTGGAAGACGATCGAAATAGCATGTTGGGAGAAATGCTCTATGACATATGTTCTGGAAGAGCCACAAGAATCCCACATTTGTCGCCAAAGCAATGTTTGGAATCGCTCATTGAATTAGGCTTGCATAAATTAAAGAGAAATTATTTTAAAATAATCACATCTGTTGATTTCCAAATCGCCAAGGATCTTCAGGATAAATGGAAGTAAGATTTGCAATTCGGTTTCCAATGCAACGAACAAGAATGATAAGCGGCTATATCTTAGAATGTAATGAAGCTTTTCAAAATTAGACATTGTTCCAATTTAATTCTTAAGGAAACAGACCGACTTTGCACTAAAGAGCCACCATTGCAGTTACCAATAAAGCTACAGTAAATATCTAGTTACGTTTATCAATAAACATTTCCATTCTTTTAGCTTGTGATCAATGCTAGAGAACCCTGTTTAAAAACATTTGTAATGTATAGCCGACTGTGATTCTTATTTATTCACCATGTACAGCTTGTAATTTAATTTAATTTGTTCAGTGCGCTTCTCGTAATGCCTCACACAGGACGAGCTACATTTACTGAATTAAATGTGCCCCATACAGTCGCTCAGCTGCACTATCTCTACCAGATTCATACTGCTTTAGAATTTTTAGCGTTAGTTAATGAAGCACGTCGCTTTCCTCATGGAGTTCTTATATCAGTGCTAAAAAACGTTTTAAATAAATATGTAATGGATATGGTATCAAATTTTTCATACGGGATTAGGCAGTTGTGTGATATAGCTGTACCCATATGTTTTGCAGACATAAAAAGTTGCGATCTATTAAGGTAAATACCAATTTATAATATTTATGATTACATCTTTCTTGTAGTAATTGTGCTCCAAGCAAATATAGGATAAGGATGTCTTCAAATCCTATAAATTCGTCTGTCATTACATCGTTTCATTATACAAGAGACCCTTTGTTTCCTAACACAATTTATAAGTATAATGGTAAGTAGTGTTTCTCATATTTTACATTTGTTACAACTGCCATGATTTGTTTTAGATGTTAGCAATTCCGCAATTCAAGAACATCAGCTGTATGTAACGCGAGTAGAAACTTACTCGGATAAAGTGTAACCTCCTAATAGAGAGTTTGGAGTAATTGCATGTTTTTTAAAAAAATATCACTATGGCATTGAAACATTTACTAGTTATGCCTTTTACTAATTTGGAATAGACCATTTTGTTTTTTTTTGTTACATTTTTCAATAAAAACTAAATAGGTACTGCATCTAGAAAAGGACGAAATATTTATTATAGGAACCAAAATCTTAGGAGATAACTAATGAAATCATTGTACAGTCCATCTATCTACTAGTGAAGAATTATATTACAAAGTGAATCTAAATGTGCTTTAGTCAATGGGACTTTACCCAAAGAACTGTCGGTGGAAGAACTATCAACGAATAAACAATGATAGGTACATTGGTTCAAGTGTTGCCAGCTTCCCAAAGTCGGTTAGTTGTGATCAAAGAGTAACCATAACTCGTTGGTTGTAATGATTTTACAGGGAAGTTAGTGAGTTTCTCTACACAAAGTTGATTTTATAACATAACATTTTCTATAATATTAAATAAACGGTATTCTGTTACAAAGAAATCTTTTCCACAAACGACAACCCATTGTGATAGATGACGACACTTGATATTAATCACAGAAATTATATTTTTAGTTCAGTGATAATATCACTCTCGATATGATTCTAACCAAAGAGTAATACTCTTTGTTCTAACTTATATATTATGTAAGTTAGAATCATATCGAGAGGGATGGCGCTATCAACTTTGCAATTCAATGCAATCAAAGATGCAATGCAAAGCATATATTAGGCACAGATGACCTCTAGGATGACCTAGTGTAGCGCTGTGGTAACTGGTATTACACTTATAATATAATTCAGGACCATAATCGCGATCCACCAAGATTTTGCTTAAATGGGTTATTTTACATTTTGTAAATTTACTTTTTAGGAATGTTTATTAAAATAAAGAAAAATTATGTATACATACTGTAGTATGTGTGCTCTTATTTGCATTTAATCTTTAGCGTTTAGCCCGATTAGATATAGGCAGATGAGATGTTCCACTTCCTTCGCATCCATGTTATCCATATTGTATTAATGTATTGTATTATTAGATATACAGGGCGTTTGAGATAAGAGGGATTACCTCAATAACGGGAAATCGGTAACTAACGCCTATGTTAAAATTAAAATTAAATGTCAAGCAAATTTGAAATTGTTGACCAATCATACGCCTTTTGGATTACAGTATCGTCGGATTTCGTATGCACGTGAATCCATCTTAAAGCTGATTTAAAAAAGCAGCAGAGCACCTCTGTTTGACCCTACGGGGGCGTTAGCTTTCACCTTTATGTTGGCATACAGCAAATTGATTGCCCTTTTCAAATATAAAATGAAGACATAAGGTTTGGATTTAGAGAATATAGGCAACTGGTGATGCACATGTAATTCAATGGGGCGTGCATTGCCTCTGAACTTCATTCGCCATTTTATAAGCAAGGAGTGTATATGATCGGAAAAATATGTATTAGATAGATAGATGTACAGAGCATAGTTTCCATACAATATAAACTGATATTTTGTCCCATTAATATATGTTTATAAAATCTAGAAAACATGCGTCAAAAGAGTTCATACTTTAGGAATTAATTGCAAAAATTAGGGAGCATTTTAAGCAATACGAGTGTATGGGATCGGTAGCGTGAATACTTATCTATATTTTGGCAATTCATGTGAAGCTCAAAAGTTTTCATAATAACAGTGGTGAATGAAGTTCTGAAAAATGGGCATGTAAACTGGCGAAATGGAAATAAACTACGCAGCTGTGACTAACATCGCGGTCAACAGTGTAGCTTCTTTCTCACAGAGGGTGCCACCAAGAGTTTTATGAAGTCAGTAAAAAATACCATAAAGACATATGAAATAAGCGCTTTTATCTTGCGATGGAGTTGTTCTTCTAGGCTAGTACTGTGTAATGAGGATAATAAAAGACAAAAATATACGAGCAAAAAAAAAACTAGCAGGCTATGTAAGTTGCCTATGTTAAATCATTTAGCGATTCTCTTTCAAGGTTGAACAGAGCGTGTAATAGCACAGATCTGTGTTTAGATCTGTGGTAATAGTAGAATTTGCTGACAGCAAAAAAAAGATCATTCCTGGTATATTTTTATTTTGTCAACTCCTTGCTTCGATATTTATTTGGTTTCCCTTTCCTATTCATTGCAAACGCCAAACGGTGGACCCTCTACCTACCGTTGTATGAAATAAATAATAGAAATGGGGATATTCCTTTACAACAAATATCAAAATTTTACGTTATTTTTAGTGTTTCGCAAACAAAGAAAATCAGGTTCTTATTCAGTAATTGAGAAATATATTTGATTGACTTTTACAACATTTTAATACTGTCTATTATTTTTTAACTAAGCCACCCACATTTTTTTTTTAACTGTATTTCTAACATTCTCCCACCTTTGAGACTAAAACGAAGAGTCTCTAACTGAACATTAACAAAGAACACACATAATTGCCCATTCATTCATGAAAACGAACAGGAATACAAATTTTACGTCCGAAACGCGTTGTATAGTTCTCCGCTTTCGTAACCGTCGTGCTGCCTTCTTCGCCTTCTTGAGAAAGTTCCGCTTTTAATTCGCAGCTGGTGGGATTCGTTTCTTGTTCTGCTTTTTGCATATGAAACTCTTCTGACGTAGCCTCCAAGGGATAAATGCGTTGAATAGGTCGTAGCAATAATCCGTGTTGGGTTTTAAGCTGCACCAACTTCCCGCATCTTGACCTCTCATTACTTCAACGACTTTTCCTAATGGCCAATCAAGACGTTTACTGTGATCATTACCGATTAACACAATCTCACCGACGATAATATCACGCGACGAAATGTTCAAAAACTTTTGGTTTAATTGCCCTAAATACTCTGCACGAAACCGCTTACGCAAATTCTCGCGTAATCGTTGTACATACTTTACTCGACGATTGAATACTACACTATCTGCAAAGTCACAATCAGGCACGCCGCTACTCGCGAGTTCGCGTAAGAACATGACCGGAGTCAATGGAATCAATTCACTCGCGTCATTGGACACATACGTTAACGGCCTCGAATTGATTACAGATTCGCAATCACACAATGTGGTATAAAGCTCTTCGCCGCTTAAACGGGCTTTACCTAACACTTTACGTAACAGAACTTTCAAAATACCAATCAGTCGCTCCCACCATCCTCCCCACCAGGGAGCTGAAGGAGGATTGAATCGCCAACAAATTCGTTGTTCTGTTCCATACCTTGTTACTTCATCCCAGTCTAGGTCTGCGAAAATGTTCTCAGCACCACGGAAGTTGGTACCATTATCTGTATACACAACACGTGGTCTGCCCCTACGCGCAACAAACCTGCGGAAAACTTGTAAAAAAACTGCTGTTGAGAGTGATGTTACTAAATCTAAGTGTACCGCCCGATATATGGCGCATGTAAACAGGCAAATCCATGCCTTCTGGTTATCTCTCAGAAATACTGGACCAGCCATATCTATGCCCGTCACTTCGAAAGCGATTGCATCACGAATTCGATCTGGAGGGAGCAATGGTGCTTCTACACACATCTTCTTGGAATCATATCTTCTGCAATGTACACAACGTGAAGTAACGGACCTAACAGATCTACGCCCACCGAGTACCCAATACTTTTCTCTCAAAATTGAAATGAGTCCTTCATTCTTCACATGACAATTATTGACATGGGTGTCATAAATTAAAGCTCTGACAACTGGATGTTTCCCTGGTAACACATAAGGATATCTGAACGTTTCTGTATCGTCTCTTATGGCAATCTTACTTTCTAAGACTAAAATACCTTCCATATTTCTCATTATCTTCAACGTAGACAGCTTTTTATCATCTTCCACAAACGATTCCTCTTGGACAATTTTGATTAATTTTCTTTCGGCTTGTTCAATCTCCTCGGTTGTCAATTCTCCAAACCTTCGGTTATCTTTATCCTTGCAGTTGAAAGAAAACCTACAAATCCAGGCAATCATTCGAATGATTCTGTTGTATTTTGAAAAATATCGATAGAATTTGTCATTATGTAAGACATGCAATGTGGAGGAAACTATTCCTTTTCTCATTTCTTTCAAGATTTCTTCTTCGTCGACTCGATGATAATTTTTAGGCCAAACCTCTGGAACTTCAAAAAGCCAATCAGGTCCCTCCCACCATTTTGAAGTAATTAATTGCTTTGGAGAACATCCTCTTGAAGGTAAATCGGCTGGATTTAAATCTCCCGGTACATGTCTCCAACTGACAGTGTTAGTGAGATTCCTAATTTCGTGTACTCGGTTCCATACGAATGTTGTCCAATTGTCTTGTCGTTTAATCCATTCAAGTACAGTTGTCGAATCTGTCCAAAAATAGCACGGCATGTTCTCTTCAAAATGGCTCTTAATTCTACTGTACAACCGAGCTCCAATTGTAGCTCCTAATAACTCCAATCGAGGTATTGACAACTTCTTGATCGGCGCTACACGCGATTTGGCTTGAATGAAGTGTACCCGTACTTTGCTTTCTACTTCAGCTCTAAGAAAAACGACAGCACTGTAAGCAGTTTGACTCGCATCACTAAAAATGTGAAGACTCAAACACTGTGCTTCTCCTAATCCCGCATTTATCCATCGAGGAATCCGAATTTCCGCTAACAAAGACGCTCCGTTCTGCCATTTCAAAAATGCACAACTGTTTTCTTCGTCTACTTCTGCATCCCAGCCTATCTTACTTTCCCACAATTTTTGAAGCAGTAATTTGGGAACCAGCGTTGCTGGAGATGAAAATCCAATAGGATCAAATATCCTTTGCGCACAAGAAAGGATTATTCGTTTTGTGATCAACTGATCAGTAAGTGGTTTTATCTCGTACACCGTAAGTTCATCCTGCGTCGTATACCACTTTAATCCGAGCAACGGTACATCTACGCTCTCTTCTGATCCAGTATAAGACTATCCTCTCAGTTCAAATTTTGCGTCAGCCATTATATCAGTAGCTTCGCGTATAAAATGTACTAATGTCACTTTGTCAGCTACACTTGTCACACAGTTGTCTACATAGAAACTATCTTGTAATTTGTGAATGACGGACTCTGAGCGAACTTAATCCTTACAGGTTAATAACCGATTCAAATGAAAATTAATGGTCGCTCCTAAAAGAAACGGACTACTGTTCACTCCAAATACAACCCTTCTATGTCGAAATACTATTTCCTTACCATCTTCTGATTTCCACAAGAACCGTAGAAAATCTCGATCGTTTCGGTGTACACTAATTTGTAAGAAGGCCTTTTTTATATCCGAAGTAACCCCAATTTTTTCCTTCCGAAAATTCAACAACAGGTCGGGTATCTGTTCAATCAAATTCACGCCTTTTTCTAAACAATCGTTTAATGATGGTTGATTCTTTTCCTTAGCCGAAGCATCAAAAACGGGTCTAATCTGTGTCGTACTGTTTGTATCTTTGATTACCGGACGATGAGGTAAGTAATGTGACTGAATATTTAGTTCTACATCAGGCACGCGTTCTATAATATTTTCAGATTGCCATTCAGAAAATACTTGGTCATACTCTTTAAGATACCCCGTAGTTTTGAGTTTCTTTTCAGTAAATTTCAAACGTCGTTTGGCCATATTGTAGTTATGTGGCAACGGCGGATGCCCTTCGATCCAAGGAAATTTAATTTCATAACGTCCTTCTTCATTTATGGTTACTGTTTCTTTAAAAAACTCTTGTGCAGCAGCTTGTTGTTGTAACTTGCCGTCAGCTTCACGTGAATCTGCGATTCCCAAAACGTCAAGCTGCCATAAAGCAGTAACAGACGCTGATGCGTTTAACAAATTAGTAACCATCATGGAAACGTTAGGTACCTTCGTTCTTATCGGCGTTTTACCCATCAATACCCATCCCAATAACGTTTGCATAGCTACAAGCCCACATTTCAAGATATGGTTTTTCCCAGTAAAAATCTTGCCCGCTATGTCTGCCCCGATTAATAACGAAATCGGTTCATAATTATCGATGTCGGTCAACGTAATTTTTCGACGATTTACCTCTTTATTCCATATGCCTGCAGAGACCGGAGCGATATTCTTACAAATCGTCTGCTGATCAAGTGCCTCAAAACGACATATATAACTGTCATCTAAACTACCGACTTTTAAGTGATACACGCAGTGCTCCTGTTCTTCTGAAACGGTTCCACCAAAAAGAGCATGTACAATAAATAGCCTCAATTCTCTTGGGCGTACATTTTAATGTGTTGACCACTGATTTCAACACATACGATCTTTGACACCCCGTATCAATCAGAGCACGAACGCATTTTTCTCCGCAATCCCCATAAATTTTAACCACTAATGTTTGGAGAAATACACATGTGTCTGTACAATTCGCTAGATTAGGTATGATTTTACCTTCAGAAGTAACTTTTGGCTCAACCACAGTTTTTGGACATGCATTTTTCGGCTTTTCTAGATCAGGGCACAAATTGACAATATGTCTAGACCCACATAAGACACATTTTAACTTGATCTTACATCTATGTCCCTGATGACCAATTTATGCACAACGAAAACATGCACGCTTATCAATTAAACATTTCTTTTTCTCATCTAATGTCATTTTTTGAGACTTAAAACATTGTTCAGCTGCATGATTCCCATCACAAAATGTGCACTTAGAAAAAGAGGTTATACCTGAATTAATAAGACCGGAGGCTGTACTAGTTTTAGTTTCGACTTTACTTCTGGGTTTCTTAAATTTTTCATCATTGTTGAATGAAAAACCTTCGATGGCTAGAGTGATCCTCTCTTCATTCTCCACTTCTGAACGTAAGAATTTCATTAACTTATCTAATCTAGAATTCATAGAATTGCTAGACGCTGCTGCAAAATCTGACGATCGCTGCCAGGCGCGCAAAAATTCTTCTGGCAGAGACGATTCTACCAACGGATACAACATGGCCGCACACATATCAGTATTCACGCCTAAAGTCTGCAAGGAACGGATTTGAGTCTCTAGTTTATCATACAAACTGGCGATCTCATTTTTAGAATGTGTACCGTCATTACGCAAAACTAGTTTCAACAACTCTCGAACGTAAAATTCTATGAGTAAATCGTCTCTGCCGAAACGCGTTTTCAATCGGTTAACTGCTTCAGAATAATTTCCTGCAGTTGGAGGAAAACCTTCGATGACGTCTCTAGCTTTAGAATTCGGCACAGTCGCGAAAATTAAATATTGAAACTTATCCTCTAATGCAATCGTCTCATCAGTATGAATTTTTTCAAACTGACTCCAAAAGGGCAGCCAATCTCGTATTGACCCGTCAAACTTTTTTAATTCAATTTTGGGTAGTTTCATTTTGCGTTGTCGTTTAGTAAAATCGCTATTAGCATCGCTATTAACCTCTTCTGATGGTTTAATAACAAATCTACTATATCTCACCTTTAACTGTGTAAATGTAGCTACATATTTTTCGGTACCTTCCAACTCCTGCAGCATGGTTTCTTCTGATGTTTCCTCTTCCAATAATTTATCCATTATCTCATCATCAGATTTTCTTAAATAGTCCATCTTTACATGAAGTTGTTCCCATGCAGCTTCTGTCTCTACTGGGTCCCTATTTGAATCTGCTAATAGAGATGTCAAATTATTAGCTACGCGTGTGAATACACTGCGACACGCCGCACGTTTATTTCTAAGACTTTCCATTTTCTAAAAATAGAAATGACTATTAAAACTTGGTACCCAATGAATGTTCAACACGAATTCAACGTAAAGCTCACTATTACTGACTAACTGTCCAGCAAATCTCTTGTCGGATGTTAGGCGTATGTAATCTTGTTACTACTGTGCAAACGGTCAAAGTCCGGTACTACACAGCAAAACCACCAATAGATTTACACACGTCCTGTCACGGTCGCCACAATGTTTCGCAAACAAAGAAAATCAGGTTCTTATTCAGTAATTGAGAAATATATTTGATTGACTTTTACAAAATTTGAATACTGTCTATTATTTTTAACTAAGCCACCCACATTTTTAACTGTATTTCTAACAGAATCCGAATGTAATCAGGCTACCTGTTATAAAACACCGCCACCAGTAGTTAAGTGCAGCTTGTGACCGAGGCCAGTTTTGCACTAATTATGTCTTCGTATTGACCCCACGTCGAATCTATAAGGACGCCAAGGAAATTAATGGATACCAATTCTTTTGTTTGACCATGATGAAGAGAACTGAATTTTTTGTTTTACTAGCATTTAAAACAGCTTATTAGCACTCATCCAATTCCAGGACTTTTACCCTGGCAGAAGGAATCTGATCGTCCAGCGAAAGAAAGGTTACTCGACACTACACTAAGTCTTATAAAGCACTCAGACTATCTGCCGATGAGTAAAATCTATGTTATCCTTGAGCGGAATAGATATTAAGTTAACACGCACATTTTTCAAAGAGAAAGCATAAGGCCGGTCGTCCTTTGGATGCGTTTTCGTCCGAATGGCCTTCGTCAGAAATCGGACGAAGAAGTGCGAATCATGCCGTTTCATTGAAACCTATTGAAGCTCGTACACTGCGTCCGAACTGCTTCGTACGAATTCGGACGAAAACATGCGATGTGCGATCTATCCGAAACAAATGGGATTGTTCCCAGTTGTTATGACGAATTCATAGTCGATTTGTAACAGACCAAGATGGATGTTGAAAAATTAATTAATTTAATTTATGAAAAAAAGCCTCTGTGGGATATGACCGACAAATCATATCACATGAGAGACATACAAAGAAAATTGTGGCAAGAAGTGGCAGTTGAAATGAATACTAAGGGTAAGTTAAATCAAATTTGGGTCTCAGGTATGATATATTTGCAAACAAACAAAATATTTGTCTTTGTTGGCTCAGTGAAATCCGAAATGTATTTGAATGTTTTATTGATTTTAAATTATGCATTATACAATTCTTGAGATGAAAAATAAGTTTTAAATTTATCTCTGATATCATAAGCTGAACTGGTGCCTCTGTTTTCACCCAAGGTTCCAAATCTTCCCGTTCTAGAATGTGTTTGATCAGGGATTTGCTCGAATGTACATGCTACTTGCTGCTCTCCTTCTCTATCAATTATAATGTTATGCAACAGGCATATACATTTAATAAGTTTATCGGCAGATTCGGGATTTACTTCAATTGATTTTTGTAATAATCTCCATTTGGCACTCATAATTCCGAATGCACATTCAACAACTTGTCTTGCTCGAGACAAACGCTCATTAAAAATTATTTCTGAAGGTCCTAATTTTAATACTGGAAAAGGTCTCATTAAATAAGTTTTGAGTGGATAAGCTTCATCTCCCAAAAGAACATGAGGTACTTTAATATTTGTTCCCGGCAGTGGACAATGTCTTGTAACACCTAATCCTCCGTTTTCAAGCTTTTGGCAAAGATTTGAATGCGAAAAAATACCACCGTCAATTTCTTTACCATACGCTCCCACATCAATTGCTATAAATTTGTAGTTTGGTCCAGCAACGGCTTGTAAAACAATTGAGAAGTATTGTTTATAGTTCCGATACATGCTTCCGGAGTGCTTTGGATTCTGTATGCGTATGTGTTTCCCGTCTATGCATCCAACGCAGTTTGGATATTTCCACTTATTCCAAAATTCTTCAGATATAGACTGCATGTCTTCATTTTTCGGAAATGGCATATGTACAGTACCCAACTTGTCCCAAATAGCATCACACGTTTCATAAACAATTCTACCCACCGTGACGTCTGATATTCGAAACGAATACCCCAATGTCTTGAACGAGGAGCCTGTTGCCAAATATCTAAAAAAAACGTTATTAATTGTAACGATTTTTTTTTAGTTGATGAAGTAAAATCAAAATGGAGGGGGCTGCGAGACACATTTCGAAAGGAATTCAACAAGTCGAAAAAACAGAAATCTGGAGATGGTGCAGAATCGGTAGTTACCTCCAAATGGCCATATTATAAAATACTGTTGTTTTTATCTAAAACTGTTGAACGACGTAAACTGCATGGAAATATATCTCCGCAAAAGGAAAACAATGACAACTCTTCTTCCGAGACAGAATCGACATTGGAAGCTGCAGACAATGCATACTCTGACACTCAATCCACCATTCAAGAGTCATCACAGCAAATTGTAAATACAGATATTCACCAGCCATCCACATCTGGTAACAAGGTAACAAGTACATTCAATAAACCTAGTAGTTCAACTTTGCAAAGTAAGAAAAACACAAACAATCGTCTAAAATATGCTAAGAATTCCGAGACAAATTCAATGGACGAAAAGTTCCTCGAAATAGAAAGAGCCAAATTGGAAATATTGTCTCAACATAAAAATAGAGAAGGGGGTGATAGTGAACACCAATTCCTACTAAGTCTCCTGCCATTTTTAAAGGCTGTACCTCACAATCGACAAATGTTGGTGAGAAGTAAGTTGCAGCAAGTATTTCTTGAGGAAGAACAATTATCTACAAGACACACGCCCGGAGCAACATATCGTTCCAATGAAACAATTACAACACCGTTGCCTTCCCCAATGTCTTACACGGACACCGATTCCTCCAGAGCGTCATTCTATTGTAATGACTTAACACCACATCGTTCTTCATCTTTGAAAAATACAGTATCTTCCGGGGTCTCACAATATTCAAGTGAAATAAGAGAAGATGTTTCCTATCAACAGCCGTTGTCCATTCAGAACTATGTTTCTCACTTCAGCGCATAAAACAATGTATTTCTTTTCTTTGTATTTTTAAATAATATAATTCAAAATGTTGCAACTACTGTATTTATAACTTACCTTATAGTCACACTCAATCGTTCTTCTGGCGAAATGGTCTCACGGAAATTCGACATTTTTTTTATTGGTTCCCTTATGGCATCTAAAATATAGTTAAATGTATCCTGATTCATGCGATAGTAATCAAAAAACTTTTTCTCGTCCTTCTTCAAATCATCATATAAATGATGAAATTCTCCGAATTCTTTTCGTTTTACTAATATGTCATTAACCCAACACTTTTTTCTTTTTAATTTTAATCGCCGTCTAACAAGATAACTATTTTCCAAAAGAAAATGATCCATATTATTAATAATTATAGTATGCTTATTTGATAAATCATCACTACATACGACTGACTTCGTACAATGCGAAAACTTGTCTAGTGGACGATACACATTATGCGAAATCTGACGAAATTATTCGTCCGATTTCTGACGAAAATAATTCTGACGAAAACGCATCCAAAGGACGACCGGCCTAAGGAGAACATAAGTGATAAACAGTGTCAGTACTTTTATACATCTTTCTGCGTTTCTGTGATACCTACTGGTGCAACAAATTAAAAGAAAAATCCCTTTACCTTCATAAATTAAATAGAGCGGAAGGCTAAATCGAGTTAAATGAACTAGGTACGAGTAACTAACAAGTTTCAGCTAACGAATATTAAATCAAGCTGGACTAATTTGTATGCCGAAGCGCTTTTAAACGATTAAAGATGCTTAATTAGCATTGCTCCCAGCTTTTTTTCATTATGCATGTTTCCGGTTAAATTGTTTCACTATTTAAAAGGCCCACCGTGCACGCATATAGGTAGAATCTACTTTATATGGCAGAACGTAAAGGGTTTCCCTTCGAGACTTCATTACTTCCTTAATAACAGTTTTGACAATTACCCTGAGATTGCTCAATGGTACCTAACTGTGCAACTAATTAGCCAAGCACACGCCGGATATTAGATAGCTAATTATGTACAATCTGCAACGAGATAATTTCAGGAAATTAGTCGTAATAATTAGCGGTTTAATTGCAATTAAAACAGTTCTACTCTTATTCTGATGTTTCCACCATGTGTTTGCACGTATTCTCTTATAAAAGCTGTCATTTCCTCTAGCCATAATTTCCCTCCTATTTTTGCTTTTCCATCACTTGGTATGATTTTCATGCCATATCTAGGAACGTTTTGACTGCCCTATTGAGTTCACTGTAGAGGGGCTTCTTTTATGTCGTTATCTTTTTCTTCCCAAGGGATATTGATCAACGTAATTTTTTAATATCTTTCTTTTATTATTATACTTTTTCATTACGTGGTCCTTGCATTAGTTCTTCGTTTTTTGACTCTTCCCCTCTATATTTATCTCAATCTTTTGTGTTGTGTCGTTATTTATGAAAATTGTCGATTCTTTATTGTCCTTCAATTTGGCCTTATTTTGCATTACTTTCTCTTTTATTCTTGATCCTCCAGTTCCAGTTCTATGCCTAATTTGCGGGCTCTTTTATTTTCACTCTTTTTTACCAAAAATTGACTCCACCAAAATTCGTACTTTTTCGATCAGACCTCAATCAAAAGTTATAGACTAGAAACCAATTTCGAAAGAAAATTCAAAGGGCTGTAACTTTTGAACTAGTAGCCCAATCTTGGAACTGTTTGAAATTATGGATTCTACAGGCAACATTCTGCCCCTAAGAGGCTCTAATAAAATTGCCCATTTCCTTTAACACTTTTTGGTCGTATGTGTCGATTGTGATTCCAGTTACTTTGTTTTGTTTCGGTCGTTTCTCTATTGTGTAAGTATTATGTACGTTTGTTGTTTTTTTGTGTTATTTAATGTATTTCTTTATCATTTATTTGTTTTCTGTGTAACATTTTATTTTTTTATAATTTTGAATCTTTTTCTTGAATGTGACATGATGTAACCGAAATGCGAAATTATGTGCATGAAAACTGCCGTTATAACTGTTTAAACTTGTTTTCATTTTTGGTGTGAATGTTTGTTCAATTTATCAGTAACTGAAGTTTTGGTTACATGGAAGCTTAATTTACATATTTGCTCTTTCATTTTATTATGTGGAAGTTATCGAACTGTTTGATGTGTGTTTTTTTGTTGTTTGTTGTTGTTTGTAAACTAACATTTTTGGCCGTAAAGAGAAAGTCACAGAAATGGGGAAATATTGTAAACAAATTAATTACGAAATCTAAGCCTGTGATTGATCTCAAATCTAAATTGTAGACTTGGATTTCCAGCATGGGGGCCAAACTTATCCGTCCCGACTGCTAACCAAAACTCTTGGGTTTAGAATTTATTGGCGATCACTGATTTCCACATATTTCGTTGTTAAATTTGCATTTGCCTACAAAGGCCATGTAATCTTCCATGTTGCTTTTAACAAAAGGGTTTTATTGCACCAAAGTCGAGTCACCTGTTGCGGCCGTGTTTTATATCACGCTTTGTTTGTTTTTTACTTTATTAACCATTTTCCAACTAACCTTAGGTTTATGATCACGTGCGACTTTTCGATTTTAAATTAAAGCGAGATCCGACCAGCTTTTGGAGGGAATAGCCATTTCGGTGGCCATTTTTAAAGTTTGCGGGTTGATCTTATTTTCGTGTGAGTATATTGCTAAGATAGCGTAGTACCCGCGAAGGTGTAATATAGGGCTCTATGGTAACCAAAATACATTCACTATCGAAGTTACACTTTGTTAGCCTTATTTAGTATAAAAGTTTGTAAAAGTTATAAATTATAAGTTTACGAACATAAACTATACCTAATAGTAGGTACGTGTTGAAAAAAATAGTAATTTTCAAACTTTGTTAGTGGGCACGCAAAGCGAATAACAAGTAAAACATGCAACTATATCATTTAAATGATATATGTACAGTGGAGCGGAGCAACCGATGATTGAGTGTAATTATACCCATCTTCTCTTATATATATGGTAATACCTTGTTAGGAAACATGAAGTTATGTACAGTGCTTTTACAACGAAGCTGTTCTGTAATTTGTACAATGGGGAGATGTATACGTATTATATTGAAATAATTTACAATCCCTTCGGGTATGTAATTTTACCTTCAGATTTTAGCAAGTTACATAAAACTAAGATTTCTATTTGTCTAAAAACAACCTTAAAAGATTTTTTGAAATTAACCACATTTAATGCGATGTGAGTGAGTTGAGTGCAATTCATTTAATGTTTCCCTGGAAGTACATTGTTTGTTTAAATGATGGAATAATTATGATTCTGTCTGAGTCGCTTCCAGTCCATTAGTAGTTTGTATTTTGCTTTCACATTTCCTTTAATTTTACCTACTTTAATTATATGTATCCTCTGATATAGATTTCAATACATTGAGTTTATACAGTGATATTTATTTAGAAGTAGATGTGTATTGTTTTTCATGTCTACTTTGAAATGGAAAAATACTTCTGAAGAGCGCCTAACTTTATGGGAGGGGAGAGGAAAGCTAGTATAAATTAGTAGTTAAGATCAATACCTGGATTTACCTTTAATAATAATACTACGATTTATTGAAAGTATATACATTACAAGACGAAGAGCGTGGCACAGGGAACCGAATGAGGGAAAAACGAGATGGACAATCTAGGTTATTGTGTAGCAAATTGAAGAGAAAGTTGAGGCCAATGGCGGGATAAACTCTGTCCAATTTAAACGATAAAAGCGTTCAGAAACTTACGCTGCACTGCTTGCAGGGTTGTTTTATATAGTAAGGGTATCAAATGAGAGAACCACACTCTGGACCACCATTATCAAAGTAGGTGTACCGAGGGAAGTTGAATACAGATCAATTAAGGGTAGTAAGTGCTCATAAATGTACCAAATTAAATCCATTTAATATCGTTTAATACAATCGTTGGTCAAGACTTAATCATTTTAGTAGGGACCACTGGCTCCAGGTGCACCATATTTGCTGCCAGAAGAACTGCTTGCCGATGTATCCAATCATGTTCCTGATGGATCGCCAATCCTGATCTCAGTAACACCGGCATGCCCTCCACTAATACCGGTACCACCACCACTTCCTAATGATGTACTTCCGAAGGAACCTAAAGCCCCAGTAGACAAGGTTCTCAGCGATTTCCCGGCGACCATTTACTTCCCGGCTTCGGTTATCTCGGCGCTCTAAACCCGGCGACGGGCAATCTCGGTTTCGGTCGTCCCGGCAATTTGAACTCTGCGATCGGAGGGATGGAAAACATTTTATTTGTTACTCAGTTGTAAACGTTGATTAACAAGACAAAACGCAAACGGGTAAACGTCATCTTTAAACGCTACTGACTTGTAAAACTGACAGCAGACCTGTAAAACTGACAGCTGATGTGTAAAAATTTTACAAGTTAGTAATCTAGTAATTTCATTGGCCAGATTTAATGCGAAGTCTCTGTTACATGGATAATATGATATTTTAGACATTTCTTCGAGATCAATTTAAGAACTAATTATTTACGTTTACTATTGTTTACAAATGAGTAACAAATAAAATATTGTACAATATACGCCAGGTAATAGTTTTTACTGGCTCTAGGAGATGACAGGCTCGCCTCACGGCTCGCCAGTCAACTTCTCCTATCGCCAGTAAAAACTCACTTACCTGGCTAATAATCTAAAATACTATAAGACGCGGTAAACATATGAAGCAAATTCATGTTTATCATATTGAAACAATTCACCGGAATTAAGTTTTCTGATTTGTTATTTTATAGAGTGTGATTTTTCCTTTTCAGATATAATACAATCTGATAGGGACTATAGTATCAAATTGAAGTTATGCCATTTATAGGTAGGTAAAGTTTTCTGGTATCTACCTGCGTAGGTAAATGATAAAACGCAATTTTTTTAAAATGGGTCCTTTGCACCGATGGCAATTGCTTAAACATATTTGAGCTTCCTTGCATATTTCGTCTCCTAGATTTACACCGCCGGGATGAGATGCACCGGCGCACCAAGCATTCGCCCAGAATCCCAATGTCCTTCTTTTTTTCTGAACCAAACCTCGCGGGGGCCCTATCTGTCCTGTATCTCAGTTACTTTTGAGAATTAAGCACATGTTTCAGGAACTTTTCTGCTTAAAATGAACGAATCTATAACATAATATGCGCCATTCCTCATGAAACACCCTGTAAATGTAGCGCCGTCTCCTAGGTAATTAAGAAATAAATTGTATTTGTTAACCGGAAGTGTACCTGTTTTTATCCGCCTTTTAGAAGATTATCTATAATTCTGCAACAACGACGATTCGTAAATTTTGCGGCTAGGAATACATACAAAATTAAATCCAAAAGTAGTTGTGCATTTAATTTCATATCGTTTAATAGAATAAATAATTGACAAATAATTATTAATCCTTTTAGTACGGACCACTGGCTCCAGGTGCACCATATTTGCTTCCAGAAGAACTGCTTCCCGATGTTTCCAATAATGTTCCTGATGGACCGCCAATGCTGACCCCAGTAACACCGGAATGACCTCCACTAATACCGGTAACACCACCGTAACCACCACCGCTTCCAAATGATGAACTTCCGAACGACCCTAAAATGCCATTGATGCCTCCATGTGCACCGCTAGACAAAGTTCTCACAAATGAATCTTTGTCATTGATAGATTTGACACCAGACCCTGCGACCTTCCCACTGAGACTGTCGGCTACGACTCTTTCGGCGTCGTGGGCATCTTTGTATTTTACATAGAATACCTCGGGTTTGGTCTTGACAACATTGTGAGTAACAGAAGCAGGCAGATTAATGGTACCCACGGCATCTTGTTTCTTAGATAATACGTAAACGACGGTCCTTTCGTGAGATGGAGCAGAAGGTGCAATGATTTCGGGTATAATTGAAGAGCCAACTTCTGGCGATTTAACGAAAAGTACCTTATTTCGTGAAGGAGCGGGTGCGACGTGTATACGAAGTCGAGATTGCTGATGGCTATCATCCCCATAAAAATGTACTTCGGTATCTTCTTCGGAACCGAAACCGTAACTACCACTTGTACCATAGTAACCACCATGCCCACCGCTTCCAAAGAATCCTGTTTGTCCGCCGAAACCTCCTCGATATCCCGATCCTCCATGTACTCCACCAAACTGGTGCCCACCAGAATGCACTCCAATGCCATGATGCGCACTTCCACTTCCAAAATGCCCACCGCTCACCCCCGGTAAGTAACTTCCAGACGGTTCATACGAAAGATGCGAAACGTCCGGCCTCGCCCAAGCGACGGACACGAGGCTAAGCAGAATCTGAAAACAATTTCCGTTAATTACGTACTTAACATTATTCGACCGCACATTACCCCTGTAAATGAGTACCTCATAGCTTGTGGTTATTTGACGTATCTGTTGATTTTGGAAGCGACGATTGCTTCTTTATACCCATTCTCCCATCGACACAATTCAAACCGAAACCAGTAATTTGCATCGATTACAAAACAAAGTGCAGCGCCCGCCAAAATTAAGTTTTGAAAGTAATCGCGAATTAATTTTGGTTTCTGCAGAATATCAACGGTTTGCGAACATCTTCCGATTAATTTATTGATATTTATGTTAAATGATGCATGCATTAACATGAATTCTTATTTAATAACACCAACGGGTAATTGGTATAGTGGTAAATTTGGAAATCGGTATTACGAATGTCGTTATTTAATGTTATAAAAATGCATCTATTATGATTGCAAATAAGATGATAATTTTGCCTACTCTCAGATCGACCTCTAAATCTGCTGTAGATTGCATAATGTTAGGAGACAGTATACATTGTATAATGGTTTTAGTAAGAGCCTTGTGCGACACAAAATAAAATGGTGCAGATATTAAGCCAAGATAATAATTTAACTAAAATTCTTAGTTATATTTTGCTTCATGTGCTACTTATTTCTACTTGCGTCTCGCTGTAGCACATCTTTTCCCTGGACATTAATTGTTTTCTTTATTTACCGTCTTTACGTCGTTACCTACCGTTTCTCTTCCCAACTTATCTACTTAGAAACAAACATGCGCGAAGAAAAAGGGGAATAGAGAAGGGTTCGTTCGTTCATCGGTTATTAACAAAGCCACCATCAATATATTTGAGCAACAATTTCGTCGCCGTCTATCAATAATTATCGGTCATTCTTCGTCGTCTGTTCATTCATCGTAGTGGACAATGTAAGTCGCTCTTATCGGTCCACCAAGAGTTCAGAGTTGCCGTTATCATTATATTTGTACAAACGTAATAAATAGTTTGCGTACATTTCTTTTCAATTTCCTCTTTAGAAAAGGCACGAGAAAGATTTCCTTTCCACTTAATTAATTAATCGTGGTTACCAGCACGTAACACATTTCGATCTTGGAAATTAGCGAAGATGGTTATATATGGAAAGAATTGAAATACTTTTTGTTTTCTTTGGAATAGAAAAATGCAACAGCCGAGTATCTCGGTTGGCAGTTCTTTTGGTATCATAATACATATACAGCCAAAAACGTGTGTTTGTACGGAATATTTTTTTAACGTGTATAACTTTTGTGTACACATAAGATTAGATATACTTTCTGCTTAACCTCAGCCTTCATTATCTTCCTCAAAAATACGTAAAGGAGCATTTTTTAGCCCTATAGATTTTTCTATCACATTTCTTTGGTCGTTTCCATCTTCATCACGCACTAGCGTTTATGGTTTTTTTTTGGTATTTTTTTTTTCGGCGCTAGAAAATGTTTTGCTTTTGCACCTCCTCCGACCTTATTTCTTAGCTACATTCTTGCGCCATATGATAATATGGCATGTGATCTTGTTTGAAAATACACCCACCAAATTTTCAGAAATTAAGCAACAAAATGATAGCAGGATATGACAAACAAATCAACGGCGTCAGAATAATATCTTGCTGTACTTACTTAAGGAATGAATACGTTAGGATTTCTTGTACGGTTCTTATCTGTAATGACAAAAATACGGACATTAGTGAGAATCTTAATTCCTACTATGTAATTAGCTTAAATATTGTGTGATCAAAACTCTCTAAACCTTCCCCATATAGTTTTTATTCGTTGAAGTTTGATGAATTGATGGATTGTTGAAGCTCGGTTGTGCTAAGTTTGATGAATTGATGGATTGTTGAAGCTCGGTTGAATAAAAACTATATGGGGAAGGTTTAGAGAGTTTTGATCACACAATATATTTCAACCCCCATTTCGAGGAACGATGGATCCAACCCAAAATAATTAGCTTAATTTAAACCTTGATTACTACCTTTCAAGCCACTCAAGAATTTTTGTTTCAGCAAATATACTTATACGGGTTGCTAGATCAGTAGCTCCCGAAAGTAGTTGCAAAACAGGACCAAATACTTGAAAAAATACAATTTCCACCAATCGATTTTTATCATTACATAACACAAGTAGCACATCCTTAGACGAATTTTTGAATGCAAAGCATGCGCATATTTTTGAAAAATTCATCAGCAATATTACTACTAGAGTAAACTACATATTATATTGTTATGCAATCCCACAAATGCACTAGTAATTCATGTAGGTCATGGATAGGAGGTGTATGAAACGTTGGAAATTACTTCGTTTCGAAGTTTTTGTTAGTTGAAACCTTATTTAGGATTTAACAAAATCAGATTGTGATTTAATAGGTATGGAATTTTTCTAATCTTTAGGAACTTCTTGTTATGTTTTATGTCTTATTATAAAAAGAGCATGTATTGAAGCTTGGTAAAAGGCCTTCAGTCAAGGTTCTCTTATAATTAGTATCTTTTATCAAAGTTAAAAGTTTTTACAGTTCGCACAACCACCGATAATGTTAGGCCCTAGATTATTTGAATTATTTAAAAAGAAAAACTGTAAGTAATTTTAAGATTTTATTATTTTATTTGTAGAACACCTATGGAACACCGTTTTAGTATTTATACCAACATTTTATCATGTATCATTTTAAATAACAGTCAATCTTATGTCTCTAAATTTTTCGTTTGTTGTTTTTATCTTACGTATTAAGAGATTGATTAAAAAAATGTTGATTAATAAAGATGATACATGAATTAAAATGTTTGTTGATAATTTTAATTAGGCGCTAGTATACACGTAGTCAAATAGACTAAACTGTAGTTCCTGAAACTTCCGCACAATCAGAGATACGAATTAAAATTATCAACAATCATTTTAATTAATGTAACATTTTAATTCAACAATCATTTTAAATAATGCTTTCCGATTTTAACAGCACGAATTAATATGATTGTTGAATTAAAATGATTGTTGGGAATATTTGTACAACACTTCAATAATTGAATTAATATGATTGTTGAATTAAAATGTTTGTTCATAATTTTAATCCCACATTTAATATGAATAAATTTTTATGGTTGTTGAATTAGTTCTAGTTAGTTATATTACTGTTCGTTTATGTATTCGTTTGTTGATTTGTATTGTTAAACTTTCGTTATACACATTGCTATATAATTCATACATCATTTCAATTAAGTGATGTTTTTTAAACAAACATATTTAATGTTTCACATAAAAACAACAAACATAATAAATCGGGAAATAAACATTGTAACTCGTTGTTTAATTTGTCCAAACAATCCATGCGAGGTTCTCTTTCATTCAGGAATTTTGTTCATTTCATGTGTTTTGTCACTGTCAGTCAATTAATTGTGTATTTATTCGAACCATCTTTGTAGTGGCTTTGTTTAAGACATGCCGTGAGAGAAACATCGATATATTTTACGGCTCTTTGAGTGAATGAATTAGTCAGATTAAATCGTAATTTCTATGTAGTTCTAGCTTAAGTACAGCATCCCAGTGCCATGTAATTGGATTGCTTCCATTCTGTATGGTGCCTGTGCAAACAAATAAACAAATAAAATGTGTGTAGTTAAGCCTTTTCAGAAGTTGATCGAGACTACAGAGTCAATATTGGGATTTTTCTTTGTAGCCGATGCCTGACGTGTACAAGGAGAAATTACAAAATTCATAATTTAAAGATTATTTTACTTTGAGTCCAACGTGGGGCCACAGCATTTATTTGGCTTGTTTATTGGGCACCCGAAATGTGAATTTTAAATCATATATGCTAATTTAAATTAGTATTAGGGATGTTTTTGGCATGATGAAATTGGTTGGTATACCTCACAATGGAATAGCTCGATCAGGAATGGTAAATACACGAAATCTCCCCACGCATCCAAAATTTAATGACAATTAAAGTTGACAGGTAGTACTGATGAAAAGACACGACATGTTTCGGAACGCACCTCGTTCCATTATCAAGTGTTACATAAAATTTATCATAACATAAGTGATAGCTAAAAAACATTAAAATTAGACCTAATTCAATCATAAGTGAAACCTTAGTGTAAAGAATAGAATACACTATGGTGAAACTTACCAAGAGGAAAAAATAGATTAAATTTAAAGACGACACATTTAAATTTGAAACATTTTACTAGGTTGTTGTGTCTGAAGGACAACAAACAATCCTTTTAACATAATTGAATTAAAAGGGGCACCCCAAAGCGGACCACAGCTTAACAGGAAGAAACGTCTAACAACGTGGTGTTTTTTTGTGAGACCGGTTATGTGAAAGTTTGAAAATTACACAGAAAAAGGCGAATTACCAACTTAAATACCAACTAAGATAAACAAATTACCTAGATCTAAGATTTCTAAAATTTCGTACACAACAAATCCGGAGGGAAGTCTATGATTTCATTGGGCCGCATGAATAAAAGTAAGCAAATGCTTATACTTGCAAAATTCAAAGTAAATACTCTTAACTGCTCCTTCATACTGGTCTGTTTAGCATGGTTTAGCAGCGCTGCACTGCGTCCTGTCCTTCTGCTTCGTAGCGCTGCTAAGTCGCCCAGTGCGAAGGAGCACTTACGAGTATTTACTTTGAATTTTGCAAGTATAAGCATTTGCTTACTTTTATTCATACGGGCCATTGACTAAACCAGGGTCGTTCTTGTACATATTAATAGTTTGTATTTCAAGCATGTTAAGCAATGAACCTTTGTTTAAAATATGGAGAATTTGACAATCGGAGTTGGTATTAAAGAAGTGACCCGAGGAGAGGATGTGTTCTGCAAAGGCTGATTTATTCGTGCTAATGTTGTTAGTTTTTATACACTGAAGGAAGGTGTTTTTCAATGCGGGTAGTGAAGGAACGTCCTGCTTGGCCGATGTAAAAACATTGCCACTCATGTAACTGTAAATAAACGTCTCGTCCATAAAGACCCAGTTTATGTACTTGATATATAAATAGCTATTTTAACGTTTATTGATTCATTTACTTATTACACAGTAACATATTTACTACGCTCCAAATCTGAAGTATTTGAATCTTTTGAGATTATAGGAAAAAGTGAGGCGCATTTCAATTTAAAAATCGC